TAGTACATTCATTCACCTTGCCCCAGCGGAAGGAACTGTGTCCATTCAGTAGTACATTCATTCACTTTGCCACAGCGGAAGGAACTGTGTCCATTCATTAGTACATTCATTTATCTTGCCCCAGCGGAAGGAACTGTGTCCATTCATTAGTACATTCATTCACATTGCCCCAGCAGAAGGGACTGTGTCCATTCATTAGTCTATTCACTCACCTTGCCCCAGCAGAAGGGGCTGTGTCCATTCATTCACCCTGCCCCAGCAGAAGGAACTGTGTCCATTCATTAGTACATTCATTCATCTTGCCACAGTGGAAGAGAGTGTGTCCATTCATTTCCTGGCCTCAGATAGAAGGAACCCATGCACCTATATATACCGCTAAACAGAGAGATGGAGAGATGGAGAGAGCTTTTCTCTCCTGACTTGGGTTTTCTCTTCCTACCAGAAACTTTAGTTTTTTTATTCTTTTCTGTAAATAAATTCTGTCTTGCACTGATCTATGGTCCGCGGATTTATTCTTCAAATCACCGAGACCAAGAACCTGAAAGTCCGGTATCAGATTTGGTGAGCCAGCCAGGAGAGAAGTCGAAATTCTAGTATCAATATGATAAGTGTAATGCTTTCTGCTTGAGTTCTCCTTGGTCTGCTCTTAATATTGAACTTTAGAGACTGTTCTTTATTTCCATGTACCTAGTTACTCTCACAGTGCCTGACATGTAGAGGCTCATTACACGCTGGCATAATGCAAAGATACTGAAAACGGGGTGACACAGTGAGGTCCTGTCTGTTTTGGCTCCCAGGAGGACACAAAAGGCAGGTCCTTTCATCCTATCATAGGATATGCTTTCCTGTGGGAAATCAATAGTCCTCTGGCCATACCCAAATAGTCAAGAATTTCTAGGATGCTGTCCCAGCTGGGAAGGCAGCTGCAGTGCCAAACCTCTGCAGTGTCTAACATCCTGACCTGAGTACACTAGGAAGCAGTGGCTGGGCTCTGAGGCCCAGTCACAGTACCTCACCTGGCACCTGTGGCCTGGGCTCAGAAACCTGCACATAGGGCGCAGTGAGGGCAGCAAGGGGAGATGCCATGGGGCAGAGGCTGGGTGCTGGGTGCCTAGGAGAGAGAGGGCACAGCAAGTGAGAGGCAGGGGAATGAGAAAGGGAGCTTATAAGGATTTACAGAGGGTAATAAAGCCCCCAGAAAACAGAGTCCCTACAGATGGCAGCTGGAGGTTCTTTATGGCACCCACATCAGAAATGACAGAAGGAACATCAGGACCAGGGCACACCTGTGTGAGGACAGAGGCCAGCACAGCTCAGGGACGTCATGTGCTATTTCCTTTGCCTTCGGGGCCTGTCCAGATTTGGCATCACAGGTGCCCAGACTAGGGGCTGCAGCTGCCTCTGGAGGCCACTTCTCAGCCTCTAGGCAAAGCTGCTTCCATTCAAGAAAAATTGGGCAGACTCTTGTATAACTGGTTTGCAAATGTTTGCAATGCTCCATCTTCGAATGTAGCAAACTTTCTTATTAGTTTATCCACATAGTGTGATTAAGTTAATTTTAAGTAAGTCCCTTAGTATTACAGGTTCCAGCTGTATTCTAATGTGAAATGCTGGCTGTTGGTCACAGGGCCCACCAAAGGACAGACTTCCCCTACAGGGCCCAACAAGTAAGGAAAACATGGAGGGTACACACTTGGGCCTTTGAACTGGTTCATTACAAGGAGCCAGAATCCCCAGCTCCCAGCCTTGGCTTTCAGAACACTATTGTACTTTTCCCTGCCCTTCTCCATGGGAGACAGCACACAGCCCCCGACTCTGTCTCCCCAATGCACAATCCAATCGCTGCTCTGCTCGTTGCTGGGCCAAAGGCCCAAGTGTCGACCCAGAGCTGTGTAGATGTGAGTAACTGTATGGTCTTCCGAGGAGGGATGTGGGTGCTTTATTTTAAATCAACCATATGCTCTTAATACTTCATCTCCCTGTCCTCTGGAGCCAGCTCAAGCCACCAAGCAACACTTCCTGGCCACCGGGCAGTGTCCTCTCACCCGCACCGCACACTTTCTCACTTTCTTTCTTTTCCCTCTGATGTTTTGGGTCCCCTCTTTAGGTCCCCTCTTTATAGAACAACACTATATTTTCTTGTGGGTGGCTACTGTGACTCCACTGGAAAGTGCAGGCCCGGCTCCCGGCTCTTACGGACTGAGGGCTCCCACTTATACAGCCAGCAGATTCCACATGACAGAACACTACCATCAACCTTCTGTGGCAGGAGGATGCCATCCACAGGGGAAAGGCAGATGTAATTTTGGCAAGGGGATTGGATATATAATTCATCAGCGTTCTTTAAAGGACATGTACACTTGTGGGCAATGACGGGAACAAAGATAAGTGGTTGTATGAACTTTTATGAAGTTCATATTTTATAAAAATTCCTAATCCAAACAGAACTTTAAAATAAGTCACATGAGATGGAGAGGAAATTTTTTATTTTTATTTTTTGAGACACAGTCTCACTATGTTACCCTCGGTAGAGTGCTGTGGCGTCACAGCTCACAGTAACCTTCAGCTCTTGGGCTTAAGTGATTCTCTTGCCTCAGCCTCTCAAGTAGCTGGGACTACAGGTGCCCACCACAATGCCCGGCTATTTTTTGTTGAAGTTGTCATTGTGGTTTTAGCAGGCCTGGGCTGGGTTCTAACCCTCCAGCCTCAGTGTATGTGACTGGTACCCTACCCACTGAGCTACGGGCGCCACCGAGAAGGAAATTTTTATCATGATTAAAAATCTAGCTCAAAGTCAGGGCATAGAGGATGAATGAAAGGAAAAATCGGGCTGTTTAGAGATGTTTAAAGTTTTTTTATAAATAAAGAGAAGTACCCAGTAAACTCTCCATGTTTGTAGATAACATTCCCTGCTTATCAGAATGCAAACTAGAATATCGTTAGCCCTCCAGAAGGCACATGAAGTAACAGAGGAGTTTATGTGAACAAGTGTAAGTGACATACTATTCCATCATATAACAGGCCAGGAGGTCAAAATTACAACCCAAGAAAAGGTCCTGAGAATCCCTATGTAGATTATTCCCCTAAAGATACTTAAGCAGCATGCTGCTTTGGCTTAAAAAGCGTCCCCAAGATGGGTTTGGTATGACCACTGGGGCTGGTGTCATCAGTCTGTCCTGTAGAAAGTCAGTGGGCCCGGGGGGAAGTGTGGGTGGTCTCGGGGGAGAGCCCTCACATGCAGGACGAGGTGTAGTGTCGGTCATGACGTCTGCAGAAGGCTATAATGGATTAAGACATCGTCCAGAAAAAGCCAATCAAAAATATCAAGGGAGCAGTAGTAACGACAGTACTAGCAGCAAACAATGACAGAGCATTTGCTATGCGCGAGGTGTTACTCTGGCAGGCACTTCATATGGGTTAACATTAATCTCTCCATCATCCCACGAGGTAGGTACTGTTATCAGCCCCACTACAGAGGTGAGGAAACTGAGGCACAGGGAATTTAAGTCCTACCCAGGAGAAACTGAATCCAGAAGGTGCCAAAAAAAAAAAAATTACACATTTCAAGAAAGGAATAAGCAGTATTAAAATTGTAATATATACTGGTAACAAAAGATGAACCCAAGTTACATTGAGCAGAGGTTGTAATTGCAGAGGTCAAACAGGACAAGTATTATAAATTTCATACAGTTTTTCCCTTTCCTAAAATACGTGTATATTTTTTGGCACCTTCTCTATATTCCATAGTGTTCCACTGGGGAGACAAAGGCTGGAAATAATTTTTCTAAGCTAATAAAAGCAAGACAAGGCCTGACAGGGAAAACATGGACTTTGTATCAAGCGGCAGATTATGAAAGTTAGGATAAAGTAAATTTAAGACAAATAAAAGGAAGTCTGCTTTGCACAGCAGGAAGTACATTATAAAATTTTTATTTTTCTCAAGAATAATTGAGGCCACAAATTCTGAGACTCAAGCAGTGTTGCCAGTCAGTAATGTGTTACCAAGGGAAACAAGGTCTGTTCCTGTCCTTTTGGGGTTGAGGCAACAGACGATTTCCAGGCTTATTCTCCCAGGAATGTCCCTGGTCCCTGAGTATCCCTGCTGTGGCAAAGCTTTTGTCCTTTTCTCGGTACCCTTCCTGTCACTTGGGTGTTCTGCCATCTCCTTGCCAACCTTGTCTCTAAGGAGCACCAGCCTAGGAAAGAAGATGGTTGTGGGCGGAGGGGCGGGGACAGCTCTCAGTCTGAAGTGACAGGAAGGGCCTGCCCAGGGGCTGGGACCGTGCCAGTTTATCCCATGCTGGGGACCATGGTAGGGCCATGACTCACATCTGGGGATCTCTGTGCCCTCAGTTCTGTCTCCCTCTTTCCACAGTCTGTCCTGGAGAAAGTCAGGGGGGCCCGGGGGGAAGTGTGGGTGGTCTCTATAGGAAGAGCAAAGACCCTAACTCCAGCCCACAGATGAGGGGGTCTCCTGGCCCGTCCCTGCCTTGCCCCTCAAGGCCCCAGCTCCTCAGGCCCGTGTGAGGAGTTGAGAGAGGAGAACTGCACAAGCCCCATCCCTGCACGTGCTACCAGGCCACAGACCTAGGGGAGAAAGGCTGTGTTTCATGTGCCTGCCATCTGGTAGCCCAGAAGGATGAAGGACCCCTCCTCTGGTGCCTGTGCCAGGGGAGAAGGCCCAGGGCGTGCAAGGTGTAAAAGAATGAAGAAGAGAACTGTGCACGGTCAGTGGCAGGAGGCACAGGCACAGACATGTTCACTATTTACTGAGCTTTCAAGTCCTTGGAGGATCCCCTTCAGCACAGTCCACTGGGAGGTCACCAGGCTCTGGCCACAGACCTTCCCCCCACAAGGATCAGAGGCGGGCGGTGGCCACGTAGGCTCCTACTCACCTACGCAGTTATCACAAAGGCTGCAGTGAGAGGCACGAGGGGGCCGGAAAATCTTGCAGGTGAAACAATATTTAAGTTTCACAGTCTGGCCATTGATGATGACTTCCTTGGTTCTGGGAGGTGGGCGGTACCCCCCGGAACTGGTGCCATTTGCAACATCTGTGGAGAAAGAAACAAAAGAGCACACTCCCTTCAGACAACCACTTAGCCTTTGGGGGTCACATCGACCAGGGCTCTCCGAGCAGGGCCACAGCGTCTGTATACAGGGTTTAACTGTCCTGCCACGCTGCCCGCCTTATCAGGCCCAAAGCATCCAGCAGCTGGCTGTGAGCTTTCTTCACCCCACAGGTGCGCGTGGCCACGTGACTGGGACCTGCCCAGCCTGGAGCCTGCCCCTTGAGACCCCTCCCCATGGGTTCAGGAGATGCCTCCCTGCCCCTGGAGGAAGCCACAGGTGGAGGCCAAGAATGGCTGCCCTGAGGAGGGCCACCTCTCTTTCCTCTTCAAGGCCCACAGTTGCACGAGCACCAGACTCCATTTGTGTTTTATTTGTTCCAGCAGCTAGCCTTGCCCTAATTAACACTGTGCCCTACTTAACTTTCCTCCCGGACAGTGTATTCCAAATCCAGCTGAGTGTCTCTTCACTTGGCCCATTCACCTCCCAGTAAACACCAGCTATGGGATGGAGGTGGGGAGAATATTGATTTTTTAAAAATATATATATTTTATTTACTTATTTATTTTTAGAGATAGAGTCTCACTCTGTCACCCTGAGCGGTGTGTCATGGTGTCATCATAGTTCATAGCAACCTCAGTCTCTCAGGCTCAAGTGATCCTCTTGCCTCAGCCTCCTAAGTAGCTGGACTATAGGTGCTACCACAACTCCAGCTTGCTTTTGTATTTTTAGTAGAAATGAATCTTGCTCTCACTCAGGCTTGTCTTGAACTCCTGAGCTCAAGAGATCCACCCACTTTGGCCTCCCAGAGTGCTAGGAGTACAGGCGTGAGCCACTGTGCCCAGCCATTAAACATATTTTTAAATATCATTAAGTGTATATTTTAAAAAATCATTTCTACATTTTGTTTTTCATCTCAACAGCACGTTTTATTACTTTTAAGAACCAGTTCTGAAAATGTCGATGGGCTCGGCGCCTATAGCTCAACCGGCTAAGGCGCCAGCCACGTACACCTAAGGTGGCCGGTTCGAATCCCCAGCCCGGACCCGCCAAGCAACAATGGCAGCTGCAACCAAAAAATAGCCGGGCGTTGTGGCGGGCGCCTGTGGTCCCAGCTACTTGGGAGGCGGAGGCAGGAGACTCGCTTGAGCCCAGGAGTTGGAGGTTGCTGTGAGCTGTAATGCCACGGCACTCTGCCCAGGGGGACAGCTTGAGGCTCTGTCTCAAAAAAAAAAAAAAAAAAAAAGAAAATGTCGATGAAAATACAAACAGGTATCGTTTTTACATTTTCATTTTATCTTATAGTTGCTGAGTTCACATTAGAATCACTTGGGGAGTTTTTAAAACTCCCCTAAGGCACAGACCCTGCCTCAGATCCATTCAACCAGAATGTCCAGGGCTTATTCTAATGTGGGCAGGGTTGAGAATCCTTGCTCTACAGAAAGATGAAACTTCACTTTTATTCTCGCCTAACCCCCCACCCCCCACTCTATGAGGCCTGCCAAAAATAATTCGCAGCGGCTGAGACTCGGCTATTAAATGCAGGCAGAGCAGGCCCTAGTGGCTGAATCAGTTCTGGGAAACTTCAGAGCTGGTAACATCAAAGGCAACTTCATTTTACTATTTATATGCTTAAAGCACAAGCTATCAGATAAAGACAGGAGCAATGTACTTTTGGTCAATTTCCAAAGTGGTAGGAATTAGTCCCATCAATCTATTCAGGCCCGTCACACAAACTCAGCCTTGGGCAAGAGTTACCTGAGCTTGCAGAACTACTGACATCTTGGTCCCACCCTCAGAGAGTCTGGTTTCACGGTGTAGGGGACAGTCTGGCATCACGATCTTGAAAAGCTCTGCAGATATGGAACTCTGCAGCCAACACTGGGAATTCTTGCTCCAAGGGAGCATCTGTATCATCTGATAGCTTGGCTGACAAGCAGGTTCTCAACTCATCTCAACCATTGAATCAGAATCTGCATTTTATTCCATGTCTGAGAACCCTGCTGTAGGGCAGCGGTAACTACTCCCCAGTCCACACTCACAGGTGCCGCTTCCTGATGTACTCAGACACACTTACTTGTATGATACCAGCTTTGCTCAGGCGCGGAGTCACATCACAGAGCACCCAGCACCCCAGAGTTTTCATGATGAGCACTTGGTGATTTAGTACAGCTGGGGGTATCTGGAGAACTGCAGCCTCCTTCTGCCCTCCACAGGGCTGCTCTTACTCACTGAGAGAACACCCAACTCTGATGGCATGACTCAGGGGTGCCAGCAGGGATGCCCTGCCCCCTGTCTTCTTTAGGGGGCTGTCAGAGGCCTAAAAGCTGCCACCAGCCTTTAGTGTTTGTAAAAATACCACTTCCAGTGGCAGGGAGAACACTTTCAGCTGCGGCCATGTAATGCCCATGGGAAATTCAAGTTGCACACTCAGGGTGAGAAGACTGTAGGGGGGCAGGTGGGTGGGGGCAGGAGCAAGGTGCAGCCCTTCCACCTTTCCTCTTCCCAAGGCCCAACCTTCCGCTTAGAATAACCAGGCAGCTATGCAGCTGGCCCAGGCATTCTGGGTGGCCTTGCCAAGCAAAACACCCTCTTCTGGTTTGTGCCCTGCCCTGCCTGGCACCCCAGGTAGCTGCCCTATGAAATGATGCTAAATTCACTAGGGACCTGAGCTCTGAAATTATGCATGTGGGGAAGAGAAAGGCCTTTCCCCACTGGAATCTGTAATAAGGAGAGAACAAAGAGATGGCATGGCCATGTACTTCCCCAAGCAACAGGGTAGAAATCACTGGCTTTGAACATGTCAAAGACAAGGTCATATCTCTGCAGGAGTCACTGAGGCCTAAACTAATAATAATTTGGTACTTTCGTAGCCTTATGCCAGCTGTGAGATCTACTGTGTCTATTTAGTTCTCGCAAACCTGGATAGAAAAATGAGGCCAGATATAGGTTTAAAAAAATACTAACCCAATCAAACATTCGTGTTAATTTAATCAGAAAAGTTTAGAGACTGAATTGTGAAGGCAAATATTTTAAAATGCAGGATGACAAACTTATCAAACCAGAATTACTTTAAAAGCCTACATCTGAGTAGCAATGACTTGAAAAGTATTTGCTAGCGCTCCTTAAGATAAACTCTATTGATCTTGCAGTTCCAAAGTACATGTTTTGAAAGATTAAACCATGGATTCAAAATGAGCTGAAGGCTGCAATTCAAAAGACGTAATAAATTGAAGCTTAAGAATTAAACCAAAACCCAAAACTCTTTGACTAAATATTTGAAGAGCTCTTTATGTAAACGAAATGGAATATATTAATTGCAAATAGCTAAAAGGAGGATATTGAACATTTCCCAGCATGCAGAAATAAATGTTTGAGATGATAGATATGCTAACTACCCTGATCTCATCACAATAAATTATATGTATTGAGATTTCACTATGTACCCCATGAATATGCGAAATTATTATTTGTCAATTAAAAAATGTTGTAAAAACACACCAGAAATGGAAGGAAGAGGCCAGACCCCGTGGTTCACTACTGTAATCCTAGCACTTCGGGAGGCTGTAGTGGGTTGATTACTTGAGCTCAGGAGTTCAAGATCAAGACCCCCATCTCTAGATCCCCCCCTTTCTAAAATTAGTAAAAATTGAAAAATTTCTTTCTGCTATTTTTTGTAAAAAAAATAGAAAAAGTATCTGGGTGTTGTGGCAAGTGCCTGTAATCCCAGATACTTGGGAGGCTAAGTCTAGAGGATTGCTTGAGCCCAAGAGTTTGAGGTTGTAAGATATGACACCATGGCATTCTATCCAAGGAGACAGAGTGAGACTTTGTCTCAAAAAAAAAAAAAAGGAAAATAAGAGAAATAGAAGGATCAGAAGACATTTGGGGTGTAGCTACACCATTAAGTAATGGAGGGAGGCCAGGTATTGTGGCCCCCACCTGCAATCCCAGCACTTTGGGAGGCCAAAGCAAGATGATCACTTGAAGCCAGGAATTTGAGACCATGGGGTAACATGGCAAGATCCTATCCCTACAAATTAAAAAAAAATTATCTAGGCATAGTGGCTGGTGGTACATGCCTATAGTCCCAGCCACTCAGGAGATAGGAGGCTCAAGCCCCAAGTTCGAGGTTACAGAGAGCTGTGATTGACCCCTTGCAGTCCAGCCTGGGCAACACAGCATTAAACAAACAAGCAAACAAACAAACAAACAAAACACTTAAAAAATGTCAACCAATATTCTCAATAAAAATACTGTGCCAGAAGTTGTAGAGGACCCATAGGGGCCTGGAAGGGGTTCTGCTGGGCTGTTTCTTGGGCAAGGTGGTTTCCTACCACCCATTCTGATCTGATCTGTTTTCCTCACAGCCCTCAGAGATTGTTTTCTTTCTTCTGTTTTTTATAAAGAGATGGACATCTCATTATATTGTTCAGATTGGCCTTAAACTCTCGGCCTCATGCAATTCTCCTGCCTCAGCCTCCTGAGTATCTGGGACTACAGGGGTGAAGGTGGGTCAGAGTTTGCCAAAGAAATACGGTAGCTCTAATGAGACACACAAGGTCATCTGAGAACCTGGCTCTCTCTTCTTGTAGTGCGTTTTCCGTGGAGACTGTGCTCAGAACACACAGCCTCTGGGCTCCCCAAGGTGGTGGTGCTGTCTCCTGCCTCTGGACTCTCCAAGCTGGTGGCACTGTCTCCTGCCTCTGGGCTCCTCAAGCTGGGCTTTTTCTTACCATGTTCTCTGCTTGGGATTTCCCATCCTGCTGTCTGTGCAGATAATCCCATCCTTAAAGGTCCAGTTTGAGGAACTCTTGTAGGCAGAGTTGCTTACTTCTTCCTTTGGGCTCTCACTATACTTGGTCCATTTGTTTAGCCAAACAACAAGTCTGTATTGTGTGCCACTGTGGCCAGCCCTGTGCTGGGAGCTGAGATGTGGCAGGAACACAACACAGGCTGGAGTGAAGACCCAGCACCTATGATA